TAGATTAAAATGCATTAAGCTCTTAATTTTAGTCAAAAATTTCTCGGAACCTGATTTTCCTAGAAATCCTCCCATATGAGTGGTTTAGATAAAGTTAATTATTGATAATAAAGTTGCATATATAATTTAGGTGAAATTTATGAAACAAGAAAATGTGTTTGTAAAATTTGGTTAGAGCATTTGAATTTTTAAGAAGTCAGCTATTCAAGGATATTTGGAAGCTCAATATAAAATTGGATATTATCATGAGCAAGACATAGTAGTAATGATAAAAAAGGCATTTGATATGTTTAAAACAGCTGCCGAAAGAGGACATCGCAATGCGCAAATTTATCTTGCAAATTTATATGAACAAGGTGAAGGAACTGAGTAAGAAAACATAAAATAATGGTAACTTAGATGGTTAAATAAGTAATATATTAATTCGCACGGCTTTTTTTATTTATAAAAAAGTTGTCGTAACTTAACCTAGAATTAAATCATATTTACCAGAAAATGGAAAAAAAGAGATGAGGAATCGTATATATAAATTAATAATGCTTGATCCTTAACAAGTTCGAAATTTTATTTTAAGTATCAGCTCAAATAGTTGAATGATTGAGAAATATTGGTGCTTTTATTTAAATTTATGTCAAACTGGGGTTGTGGCTATCATTTTTATAATAAATTTAGAAGGCCCGAAATTTAATTTAACGAGCTGTCACAGCTTATTCGATCACTGCCGGCCTAAAGCGATCGAGCCTGAAAATATATAAGAAAAATGAAAAAAAAATAAAATAATTGTAAAAGAATCAAATATACACGCTAATTTAATCAAAGCAGCGTGATACGAAAAGAAAGCATAATGACAAAAAAAAATAATTGAAAATAAAAAAAAGAATCTTACCTTTTACTTGCACCTCCGTAAGAGGATTAAATTCACCGGTATTTATTTGATTCAAATTAACAAAATATTACACCTGTTTTCTTCAACGCTAAGGTGTATAATATCATGTATTAGAATAAATAAGAATAAATCGATTTATAATCCTAATTAGAACTTGGATATACTTTTTTGGTAAGTTTTAGATATAACCTGATTTGTTTCTATTTAGTATCTTATAACCTAAATATATTTTATAGCACGATCTCTTTGTTCAGTTCTAACCTCTAATTTGTTTTCTAAACGACTATTCTTTTGGTTAGCTAAATTCAAACTTTCTCTTAACTCTGCTATCTCTCTATTTTTTTCAGCATGCAAATCTTCTAATGCTTCTTTTTTGCTATCACTTAATCTATGTAAGTGATCTGAAAATAATATTTGCATATAAAAAAGATTTGAATTTTTCAGTAATTTCCTCTTCTTTTACAAAGTTTCCATATTGAATTAGAAAGAAAATAAACTATATATTTATATAAAGTATTATTTTTTTAATTTGTTAAAAACTAACTAACATTTATTCAAACAAGAGTTATCATTTCATTAGTTTTGTAAGTATATTGTTATAATAATAATTATAATATATTATTGTTATCTATTATCATTCACAAATTCACATTATAAAAGGGTTTTAAATAATAATCATTGCATATAAGTTTTTAAAAGAATACATGTTAATGAAAAAGTGATACACCTACTAACTCTATGATTAAAATACTTCATAATAAATAAAAGTCAAATAAATAATAACAAACGCTTTTTATATTCTTATGATTAAAAAAATAAAACTACTAATATTCAGTATTATTGTTATAAATTATTTAAATTTTTTAACTTAATATAAATTGAATAAAATTAAACGAATTCTGTCATTATCACAATATTATACAACTATTTCTAAAAATAACAATTTATTAATAATATAAATGTTTTTTTTAAATTTTCATTTTATTTAATTATAATAAATTTATTTATTTATTAATTATTAATATAAATTGAAAATTGAAAATAAGTGAATAAAGAACTAAAATAATTATAAAAATAAATAAAAAAGTGAAAATAATTGTAGATATATAAAGAAATATCTAATAATAGTAATAATTTATTAATAAAAAATAAAACAAACAATATATTTAGAAAATAATAAAAGAATAATCTAATTTATTAATGATAAAATATTAAAAAAAGAATTTAATTTAAAAGAATTAAATATAAAAATTCTAATAATAATAAATTTTACTAAAAAATCCAAAAGTAAATAAAAATTAAAAAATTTATTTATATAAATAAAATTATAAATTTAAAGATATTAAATTATAAATAAACAATATAAAATATATATAACAAATTTTAATATTAATAATTTTTATAATTTTGATTATATAATCAATTATTATTTTTACAACCTTATGCTTATAATTATTAATTTATTATATATTATATAATTAATTATTAAATTATAATTTATATATATTATTAAAAAATTATAATATATATTTATTTAAAATTTAATAATAAAATAATATCTTTTATAATAAAAAAAAGAGATAAATATTACTTTATTTAACATATAAAATAAAATTTGATTATTAAATTATTATTTATAAAAATAAACAAAATAAAAAAAGGATTTATATTTTTTTGCAAGTGTAATTTAACATATTTTATATATATTTTTTATTTTTAGCTTACTTTTATTTATTTCTTATTTTCAATCATTTCTTTTTTAGCATTTATTTTTTATTTACAGTTCACTTCTATTTATTTCCATTATTTTACATTAAACATTCAGATATATATTTATCTATATATTTTTTTCATCACAGTCTTCACAGCTTTCTTTTCACACTTTTTTCTATTTTACTTTCTATGCGTGATTAGACAGATCATATATTTTATTTTACAAATACTCTAATATTTATATCACTTAATACTACTTTTAATAATATACCTTTAGATTAACAAATAAGTGAACTTAATATAAATGAAGATAATAAAATAGATTTATATAAAGGAAAGGTCTTTGATATTAGGTAAAATGCTTTTGATATTATTGAAAGGTAGGCAAAGTAGCAAGGATTTAATACTGTGTATAATCAGGCTGAAAGAAACTCAGATGAAATTTTCATAAACGTACTATATAATATGAATATTTTAGTCATTACATAATAAATCTAATAATAAATAAATATTAACAAAATATGTAAGTTAGTTATACTTAGTATATAAATTTATCAGAACCAGTATTTCAAAATCCATTAAAAAATGTCAATATCATTATCTTTCATAATATCCATTCTTATAATCTTGATCCTCATCTTATTAAATTTAGTAATAATAAATATTTGCCTATTGAGATAATAAAAAAGATTGAATTTATTACTATTAAATATAAAATGAGAGCAACTATGTAAAAACAATATCTTAAAGCAAGATTCTAGAGCAAGTAATTTATAATAATGATTTATATCATGTTATTCAGTATTTTTAATCAAATAAAAAAAATGATTATAATGATGCTATAAAGCTTTATACAAAATTTTTGCAAAATAATCCAATGTGAAAAGTAGCAATTAAATTTGACGATAATAATATTTTTACACACTTATTTTAGATAACACTCTTTCAACTTGAATTTTAGTATTAATATTTAGATATAGTTATATAAGATGTAATTTATAAAACAAATAGATATGATATAACTTTAAGTCTATTTGTTATTCTTAATGAAAATAAAAATATAAGTCTTGTTATACAAGCATTGATAATTGATGAAACAAAAGAATCACATGAATAGATATTTGAGTAAATTAATTTAGTAACAAATGATATATATCTACAAGTTAAAATAATAGATGTTACCTTAGTTATATATACTACAATAAGATCTATATTTTATAGAACATATCCAATGTATTATATATTACACATTAGTCAAAACTTAATTAAAAAACTTTCAAAACTATTTAGAATAAAGTTTCAAGAGTTTTCTACCTAATTTTATATAATAAAAAATGTATTAAAGTAGCAAGCTTTAATTATTTAATATTTAAAGTATAGCAATATTTAGTTAATATTCTTTATAATATTAAAAAGCATAGGCGTATTCTTAAATATATAGATATTTTTATAGCTGAACTTTATATATCTTCACCAGTTGAGAATATTAACTTTTAGCTTAAACATCATATATTCAACCCTAATATTTCATTATGTAAACTTACTGATATTATAAATAAAAGACTAATATTAGAAGATTAAAAATATCAGCTTATATTATAGAAAGCTACTATATTATATCCTTTACAAGTTACCACTTCAGCATTTTTATTTATATTTATTAATAAAAAACTTAAAGAATACTTACCTTCTGCTATATTAGATCTTTAAAGAGATAAAATTCAGCAATATATTTTTTTATAGAGCTTTACAAGTCAGCTAAGATAAAATTAATTAATTTAATGGAGTATTTGCATTTTATTATCTTTAATGTCATATATACTCATATAATTTTTAATAATATAATAAATACGCTATTTATATTTATAATATAATTTTTTATCTATTAAATATCCTAAGATATATATTAAATTACTGCAATTTAAATAATCTCTGATATGAATAAAATTAAATTATATCTATATGAAATATTATTATTAAAAATAAACTTACAAAAAGCATTATTATTTTATTAACTATTAATCATATTATTATTCTTATTTATTTCTTATTAATAGAGAAATTATCTACAAACATTATTTTCAAATAATGCTCTATACTTTTAATGTAAAGTTTCATATTAGACTTATTTCCTTCTAATAGTATCACAAAAATAAAGGATCCAAGTAAAGAATAATTTCTGACTCTTAATAAATTTAAAGTTGAAGTAACATCTATAATTTACAATATGATATTTTATTTTTAAATGCAATCTATCAAATAGAATCATAAGATTCTATTACTTAATATAAACATATTATAAATATATAACTCTATAATAAAATTGCTAGTTTAGTTTGTGAGGTCACTATAAAAGCTGTAAAAAAAAGAGACTTAAATATAATTAATCTTTTTGAAGATTACCTAAAAGATGATAAATTAGAAAATAAGACAAATATAAATGATAATGAAAAAGACAAAGAAAATAACTCTCTAATATTAGTAATCCTAATAGAAAAAATAAGTCTGAAGGTTAATCTAAAGATATAAAAAGAATTAAGGTAAGTTATAAAGTAAAAGCACTAGCAAATTTAGGTAATAAACAGTATAAGTGTTATCACTATAGTGGTATTAGTCATAATAAATGGAATTGTAAAAATAATGTTATATTTGATATATAATAAATTTAATTGATTAACTATTATTATTTAATAAAACATTTAAAATATTTATATTTAACAAGTATTTATTTATATTTGTATTAAAAAAAAAAATTTATTAAATTTTGACCAAAAATTTATGACGCAATACTAATGCGAAATTTCACAGGTATAAATAAAAAATAAACCCCTAAAAAATTATATATTTTTTTAAATTATTTTAATATTTTTAAAAAACATAAATTATACTTAAATTTAAATTCAATATATAATAGTTAATTATATATAAAATTTATTAAATAATTTTTTTACATATTAATTTGTTAATAATTAATTATCATATTAATCTAATTTTTTAATAAATTTATTTTTAATAATATTTTAAATATAAATGTAATATAAAAGAAGAAAATTACTAAAATAAAGATTTTATTAATAAGTTAAATATGATTCTATTAATTAAATAAGTTCAAATTTTTATAATAAAATAATAAAAATTAATCAAATAATTAAGAACTTATTTATCGATAATAATATTTAAATTATTAATAATAAAAAAATATATATTTTAATATTTTTTATTAAAATATTTAAATATATTTTAAATATTATTATAAAATAAATTTAATTAAATTAAAGTATTATATTTTAAAATATTATTATTTATTTATTATTTATTAATTTAAGATTTAAAAATAAATAAAATACAATAATTTTAAATTATTAATGTTATTTAATAATATACTTTAAATTCTTTTATTAATAAATAATAAAATTTTATAATTTTAAATAATAAAAATTAATAACTTTTACCTTATTATTATTGCTTATTATTTCTTATTAATAAATAAATGCTATGTAATTTTATATTATATAATAAAAAAATTTAATTAAATATATTATTATATAAATAAAATTAAATAAAGAAATGTTTTATTTTATTAATAATTATATTAATATATTGTATAATACATTAGTTAAATTATTTTTAAGATACAATATGTTTTAATATATATAATACTTTATTTATAAACAGAAAATATATATTGCATTAATAATAAATCAAATAATCATTATTAATTTCTCATTTATATTATTTAAATTACTATTTTTATAAAAGAATTAAAGAATTATAATACAATAGAAATAGAATTGTAGTTAATAAATTAATAATAAATAAATCAAAAAATTATTTTTTAAACTAAAATATTTAAATAATAATAAAATTTTAACTATTAATAATAAATTAAAATATTATATTTAGTTTTACTTCTTATATTTAAATAAACTTAAAAGAAAATGATAAGATTTTTAAAATTAAGAATTTAAATAACTTATTAAGAAAATAAATATCAAAGATACTAATTCATCAATTTAATGTTAAATTATATTTTATTAAAATTAATTAGATAAAGAAAATGAAACATTTTATTATACATTATTAACTAACTATTGTAGCCTCCAACTTGAGAAATTTAATCTGATCAATAAGCAATATTTAATTGAAAACTTCTCCTTCAAATAATAAATAATAGTTATTATATTATTTCAAAAATAAATCAATTCTAATAAGATAAAAAAATAAAAAAGAAAACGTCTTCAAAAATAATCAAAATCAGAAATTCTTATAACCAAATCGCTATATTTATTCATCTTTATAGAAGGTTGAATATCATTGACCAACTTCTCTAAATTCTGATGTTCAAAATCGTCAGGATTAAAACAACTATTAACCTGATATGCAAAATTTGTTACTTCATTCTCCTTTACAAATTTTTTTAAAATATTAAAAGTATCATCGATTTCCTTAATATTTTTATTTTTAACCAATAACCTGCTTAATCTAACAAAGTGCTTGCAATTATCCAAGAAGTCTTTAAAGTTGGTTGGATCAATTACAAGATTTAAATCTAAATAATTCAAAGAACTTGGTAAAATTTGACCCAAATTTTCCAAGATCATCGAACTAACTCTTAAATTGTCCTTATTACCCGAAAGAAGAATATAGGGTGGGTGGTAATTCTTGTTTTGAAGAGAAAGATATTTGAGATTTTTGCGAACTTGAGTGATTAACTTATACAATTGAGGAATATTCACATAATCAATCTCATATAAATGGAGAAATTGAATTTTATCACAATATTTGATGATACTTTCAAAAACCCTTTTCCTCTCAACGTCTACCCAAAGTTTTAGTTCCAAATTTTCAACATAAGAACCGGCTTTTTGAAGCAATAATTGAATAAAAACGGTTTCCGCGATTTGACCCTCTAGTTTTAACGTTTTGATTTTAAGTGGAGTAGGAATGTTAAGTAAGGGTTGAAAAACTCGAACAGTTATCCCTTTGCAATGAATAAATTGAAGAGATTCAAGATGTGAAAGGTAGTTAAGTCCATTAAATGATGAGATGTTTGTGAAATCACAATAATTAAACTTAATTGAAGTTAAAGTATTAGAACTATAACTTAAACAACCCAATAAGTAAGCTACATTTGCTGTTATAGAATAAAATGAAAGGGATAAAAGTTGCGTTTGTGATTGAATCAATCTCTCTAGATTTCTTGCAGTTAACATCTCTTTATCAAAACCAAAATAAATACTAAAATGCTTGATTGAAGAAGTTAACACTGATGGTAAAGACATTAAAAAGGATTGGAAAGGATAAAGAACAGGGTAAGCAAAAATATTTCTATATTTATGTGAAAAATCTAATGTAAAATCCTTGATGCCTGATAAAAATTTTGGATTATCCGATATGAATTTGCAAAGTTGAGATATAAAATTCAAATGATAATAATTGATGTTTAAATATAAATTATTTAAAGAAATTTCATTACTTATAAATAATTTAAATAATGAAACACAAATAAAGTCGATTATTTTCGATGAGGAAATCGGATGTTGCTCTAATTCCAAACTTGTATTTTCAACATTAAAGATCGGAGCGAAAGTAATTTTATCGGATTTCAAAGTGTTAGGTAAAGGTCGTTGGATTTGGCTTATCGAACAAGTTGTTATGTTGTTGGTAACAGAAAGGTTATTTATCAAATTCACTACATGAAGTTCGACTCGGAATGTATTTAATGTTTTGATAAAACTGGGATAATTAAAGAAAGGTTTCTTAAACGATGATGAATTAATTTCTACCCCAAATTCCTTTAACTTAGCCTTATCATCATTATTAAGAAATAACAAATAAGTGATAAGAAAATCATAAGTCCTTCCTTCTCGACGCATAACGGCAAAAGGATCTTCCCAAAGTATTGGAATTGTAATCCTGCATAAAAGTCGATTGACTAAAACGCATGAATAAAGAGACCTTAAATCATTACGTAGAAATTGTATGATTAAATTTGTTATTTCCGGTAAATCTCCGGAAAATAATTTTGAACATGCCATTGTTAAGAAGGAAATCAAGAAATAAGGTTAGTTTTGTCTCCATTTCAGTATTTAAATATTTTTTTTTGTTTCACAATTCCGAAACAGTAATGTTGATCAAAAAAACATTTGCTTAGTAAGTAAACTGCGCCATAATGAACAAATTTAACAAATTTAAATGTTCCGTGAAATGTTTTTGAGCGTAACACTTTTGTATGCCCCTGCATTTTATTATTAAGGATAGAAATCAGACGTCAATCATAGACTTCCTTCTTTTGTTTAAAATAGTTTATAAAACAAAATGAGCTTAGCAAATCCAAAGATGTTCTTATAAAAATATATTAGTTAATAGGCGAATTTTTTCTTCCGCATTTTTATATTCTCATTTCTCACTTATTTTATTCATAAATGCAAATATAGAAAATAAATACTTTGCTATTAAATTTAAAGTACTCGATATTTTATTTTTCAATTATTTTGCGATGACTGCTGTTAGAAATTATACTGCAAAATATATTATTCAAATCGCAAAAAAATTTAATCAAGTTATTACCTAATAATTATAAAAACTGGCTCTAGTAGACTTTTTATCAGTTGCGTCTCAATTCAATACTAAATAGCTACACCACATTAAATGTACCCATTAATAAATTAAAATATAATTTATTAGTAAATAATCTAAATAATCTAGAAAATGTTTGTTTCTTCAAAATTTTCTAATAGATAAATTTAACAATATTTACATATAATAGAATACAAAATTTAATTTTTAAATTTAAAACTTATAATTTTATAAATCGAAAATGCTATAAATCTTAGAAAATATTTATTATATCCAAGATTTTTAAAAATAAAATTTAAAAAGTTCAAAAATATGGATTGTATAAAAACTGAAAAGATATAATTTAAATATCAAAATAATGCAAAAATGGTTCAAGATTACCTTTGTATACAAGTAATTAGTATTTCTAATAAACTCTTGTATAATTATTTAAAAAGCACAGGCAACTTTATATCTTAAAAGTTGATATAAACTGATATTATCAGTTTAAATTAAAAAGAATTTCAATTTGTTTTTATTATAAAATATTTTTAATATAAGAAAAATAAATAATTCAATAAAATTTCTTTTTTTAAAATCTTCTAATAATATGAAATGGTTAACATAGCATTATATGATAAATTTAAAACTAATTTATAAATTAGATTTTTTTAAACCAGACCAAATAAATCAAGTATAGATGCTTGCTAAAATCTTCTCAAAATAATTTTATCATACCCTTTTCTATATTTTTAATATAATTTTCAACAGTTTTGGCTTTTGTTTTATTAAAAGAGTTTTATCATATTCCTTATTATAATTTTAATATAGTTCTATCTAGTTTTAACTTATTAAAAGGTTTTATCTCTTATCTATTAAGTCAGATTATAATTTTTTACATTTCTAACCTAATTTAACTTGATCTTTACTATTAATAAAGTAAATAAAGTTTATTACAATATTTATAAATTTTGGCTTGATAAAGTTTAAAGTTTTATAATTAAACTTAGACAATTAAAGTAATTTTTTTTTATAAAATGATATTACATTTAGTAAAAAAATTGATTTTTTAAAATGTTAATTAACTAATTACAAAATAATCCTAGTTTTAAAAGAATTTATATAAAGATAATATATTATAATAACAAGCTTAATAGTCTTTATATTATTATAAAAATTATTATAAAATCTTTTAATAATTTAAAAAAAGTTATAAAACTTGTATTTAAAAAGTAATAATATTTTCAAACACTTATATATAATATGAAAAGATAAATACTATTAAATAGTTATGATTTATTATATTTTAAATTACTTTTATTACTTTTATAAAAGATATAAATTATTATATAAAATATTAATATTAAATTATTATTATAGATTAAAATTATATATAATTTAAATTATATAATATGTTATTATTAGTCAATCTTTTTATCAATTATATTTATTATAGAAATACTAGTCAATATATAAACTAATTAAAAAAAAGTTTTTTTATGAATTAGAATTTACAGATTTATATATCTGCATAATATTATATAATATAAGTTTAGCATTTTTAACATAATTTTATTTTTTTAGAATTTTTTTACAAATATATTATATTTATTATTTTAAGAATAAAAATTTAATTAATTATCTATTTTTTTATAATTCAAAGAATTCTAATTTTTAATTTATCCTTATTTAGAAAATAAAAATTATATTGTAAATTTTATAATTATATAGTTAATTATAAATATAAATCTGTTATTATAGCTAATAAAAACTTACTAATTCATTTATAAAGAAAAGAAAAATAGATAGTAATGTTAAAATTTTATAAATAAAGTACTAAATATTTATTAAAATAAATAAGAAAAATAAGAAATAAATTTATATTTTATTAAAAATTTTACTAAAAGCTAATATTCTATTTAAAATAATTGATAAATTAAATTTTTTTTTAAAATATTACAATAATAGTAAGATTTATTCTTTATATGTTATATTGTATTTTTATAATAATATCAAAAATCAAAAATCATAATAAAACTATAAATTATTTATAAAAGATATTTTTTTAGCTTTTTTAAATCAATAAAAATATAATAATATATGAATTAATCAATCAAAAAATTTCTATTTTATAAATAAAATAATAGATAATTATGAAAGAAAAGTTTTTAAATTAAAAATTAGTTAATTTAAAGATAAAATAAAGGATTAGTCTTTAAATTAGATTTTTATATTATATGATTTACCTAAAGTAAATTAAAAATGAGAGTTCTAAAACAAAATTTAAAAATAGTAATTAAGAAAGATTCTAATCTACTTATAACTTAACTTTTATTATAGATCATAAATTCTATTTAGATGAATAAATCAATTTAGATTCCTTTTTTGCTATCTAATATTTTGATATCTAAATTAGCATGAAATTATCTCATTAAATACTAAAAATTATACTATTTCTTATATTCTTACTAGTTTAAATTTAATCCTTTCTAATATATTAAAATTTATACTATACTATTTATTGTATCAAATATAATCAAATAAAATGAAATTATATTTAGTAATATCATTTATTTAAATCTAAAATATATATTTTTATTTTGTAAAATTAGTTCTAAAGGTTATTTATTAAAAAATACTAAGATTACTAAATCTTATCTTTGAATACTAATATGCTAGTTTTACCTTACAAAGATGAGATTTAGCTAGTATCAGATTTTAAATTTAAAATGCTTAGATCATTTTTTAGCATATTTTATTTTTTATATTATACAAGAAGATATTCTAGAACTAATTCTTTTAGAAATACTAGAAAAAAAATTACATTTTTAAGGTAAATATATATTAAGTCTCATCTTTAAATCTCACCTTTAAAGTAAATATATATTAAGTTTCATTTATAATATTTTTATCATCAAAATTTTCTTTAATTTCAGATTTTTTTAATTCTATCATATCTATTTTATCTTTATCTATTTCTGTTATATTTATTATATTTTCTTTTATTTCTGTTATTTTTACTATATTTTTATCTTATCAATTTCTTTTGTATATTTTCTGTTTAACTATTTTCTTATTCTTTAATAAAATTTCTATTTTTATCTAATTTTTAAATATAATTTCATATTTTGTCCTTTTCTTTTAATTTCGTATAATCTACTATTTTCACATTTTATTCTTAAGGTATTTTTTTCCTCCAGTTTCTCTTCTAATTCTTTTATTATTTTTTCTTTTTCGCTTTCATTTTCTTTATTATATTTTTTCTTTTCTTGATTATTTTTCATAATAGTATCTTCTTCTTTTTCTTATGCTAAATATTCTTCTGCAATTTTATTTGTTTCTTTTATAGATCTTTCAAATGCTTTACTTACTGCTATTCTAAATATTAACTTTTTATGTATTTTTTTTAGTTAATTTTAGACTTTCATTATATCTCATCATCCTAGTAATTTTTTTATTATCTAAAGTCTCTATTTTTATCTTATTTCTTCTTAGTTAATTCTAGTATTTGCATAAATATTTCTTTTAATTTGCTTATATATTCTTTCTTTCTACTTTTGATACTGTTTACTTATACTATTATCAATATTTATCAAATGTCAGCATTTTCTATTTGATAAATCTTCTTTATAATATTTTTTAATAAGATATGTATCATATTTTTTCTGTTTTTTCTTTTCAAATTTCATATTTGTCTACTATTTTTAATATTAAAATTTAATATTTCACTCAGCTTTTTTTATATTTTTCTGCATTTTTAATTTTACTAAAAATTCATAATCTTCTTGATTTGTAAAATTTTTTATAAATATGATAGTATAAAGATACATGTTATTATCTTTTATTTGAATTTGTTCAATCTTTTTGTCAATCTGAATTTTATAAATGATATTCTTATCTTTCTTATTTCTGGTAAGTTTATTGGTTTTCAAAATTAAAAAATATTTTTCATAAAAATTCTGATTACAAAATTATTTTTAATTTCTTGATCAATTGACTATACTACTTGATTTTTCTTAATACATAAATTGAATAATTATAGTAAGTGATTTTTTTTATTAGAATTCTAACATTTTCTTTTTTCTAATTCTTTTATATACATTTTATTAAACTTGTGTAATACAAAAGATTTTCTGAATTATTCTAAATAAAATAATTTTAATTAGAAATTTATTATATAAATCTTACATGATCATTTAATTTTAGTAATATTGATCAATTGCATCACTTTAAAATCAGTTTTTGTTTTATAAGATTGATCATCCAATATTATCTAATAGTTCTTTATTTATCTTTTTACAAAAAATGTATTTCTTAT